AAAGCTTCAGACTCATAGTTTGCTTATTCTGGAATTATGGTGCGATTATGCTGGTTTCGATCTCAGGATACTACCAGAGGTTGCAGTAAACTTAAACGTATGGCGTATACACATAAATTCATACTTGCTTGCATGCACACATACACATATGAACACACATATGCAGGCTGCATATGCATTTTTTGCAAACTAAAAATGCCTATAAAAAGCAATACGTCGTTTGCATTTGCGGCCTGGTCGATTCTGCCGATCGAATGATACATCCAAGTAGTTAATAGCGCAGCGACACGTATAAGAATCCGGTGTGTCCTCACAAATTCCACCATCCCTCGCGCAGTCATCGGTTTTTTTAGCGCATTCATTTTCCACTAAAAGTTTTTCAAATTTTAATATAAATACCATGTTCAGAATTTTAGCTACCGTAAAAATATTTATAATCTTCCTACTCGTTACATAAGATACCTCATATAGTCCAACAGTGACAACGTTCAGAACGTAGTAGGAGTGCTTAACATACACCAAGGACAGCCCGAAACAACTAAAACCCTGTAAAGCGTTTCTTTTGCGAAACATTTTTGTGATAATTCTTTCAAATGATGGAATGAGCATCAGGATCAACAGCAGGCTAACCAACAAACGAAGCAGCATTTGTCACAACAACTGGAAAAGTTGCCCACTGCATAGTAGGAGAATCAGCTGATTAAAGCATTAATATGTGAGATATTTGCAACCATAAGAACTACACAATGGAAGTCAGCACGAACATGGTTTACAGAGACGGCCGGGTTTTGAGGTGATATTAGGCGAGATATCCAGAAAGCCTTGTCGGCAGCGACACAAATATCCCTCATCGGTATCTGTACAAATAGCACGATCCGGAGAATCACAGTCATTCAGTGTTGGATTATCGCATTCCGGAATCACTAAAAATCGAATCCAATGAATCAACCAGAACTCGATTCAAATTGCAAAATATGAAAAATTAAAATATTGAGCATCATTATGGGATAGAAAATATCATTTTAAAACAAAATTTGGAACTTCGAGATCACTTATTCACTGTTAGTACAGCCTAAAAATCCTGACTTTTTTAATATCAAGAACTGATTAGAGTAAGAGAAAGAAGGCGAAAATTCAATAAAACAAATTTAAAATGCCAAACAGCGAAAAAATACAATGCGTCGAGCTCAAAAATTCAGTTTTAAAAATCAAGCTCCGGTTTGAAGTCAAAATTTAATGTTAGAAGCGGCCACTCACATGGTATGCATACTCTTCCGGGGCGACTTGGATCCGGACTCTTGTCTCGATATCCTGATGGGCAAGCACATACGTAATCGTTGCCACCTCTCTGGATGCAACGTGCATTTCGATCGCAATCATTATTGCCCGGCATGCATCGCTCATTATGTTCTTCTGAAATTTGATTAAAATCTTTCAAAAACCTTATATTTTTATGCGTTTTTGCTGTGCAGCGCTATAGCAGCTCTATAGCGCTGCTACAGCCAGCAAAAAC